TTAGCTTTTAGGACAACTTCGTAAACGTGGTTGTTCCATGCGAGATCGCTGGTGTGGTGAAGTTCAGGTACTTATATGATGTGCAGTGGCCAATGTTATTGATACCTAGTTGGTAAGCAAATGTAGACGAGGCAGTTAGACGAGTGAATGTTAGTAACTTGCACTTTTCCATGTTTAGGCTCACCTGCCAATCGTCACACCACTGTACAATTATATTGAGGTCATTTTGAAGTACTCTATGGTCATCTGGTGTTTCGATGGCTCTGTAAATGACGCAGTCGTCTGCGAAGAGACGCACGGGGGATGATAGAAGCTTTGTTAAGTCATTGATGTGTGCTAAGAATAATAATGGGCCCGACATAATAATGTAGGGCACAAAAGCGATTTTTCATCTCGTTGGTGGATTCACCGTATCCTCTCCGCTTGCTGCTCTCCGTTTCAGTTCCTTGAAGAGGCTCTCGCATACGCTTTTTAAAAGAGCGCTCGGGTAACCAGAATTGCTTAGTCGGGCGATCTGTTTTTTAAAGCTTGTCTCAACTTGATGATGGTAGGACTTGCTTAGCACAGAGACAAGAGCAGTCCTGGCAACACCTCTTTTGATGGTCTTCGAATGGCCTCGGTCGTAGGGAAGAAACCTTTTTCATGATCGAGGTTGGTAGCGCCAACAGACGTGACTTGTTTCGAACTCCAAAGGGAGGTTTAGGAACTAGATTGCTTTCTTCAGTGGTGTTTCGTAAGTAAACCAAAATTCCGGACCACTTTTTTGTGAACAGGTCAAAACCTTTTTTTACTTTTGTTTCCCGGATCTTTCAGCTCAGTGTCGCCCAAATCATTGAGCCGCCACGATCACTGAGCTGTCATTGAGCCGCTAACGTTTATTGAGTTCAGCTGAGCTGGCCAACCGCAGTTGACTGATGGGGGTTCGGCCACCAAGGACGTTTAAATAGGGCAGGACCCGTCATGACGTCACGCCCAGCGACGCCGGAAAAAGAATGCAGTCCCGGACTGCCTTGCGCAACGACGCTCTCTCATCCAAGCTCCAATTGCCTGCACGCGTCTCGGTCGACTGCGTTAGGCTTAGGCTTCGTCTGCTCCGTGCCTGTGTTCCGTTTCGTGTGCTCGGTGTTGCGGCTAGCTTTTGATACGATCGGAACAGCACAATAAGTTTCGATGCGAACACGCATTCTGGTCACGGCGGAGGGCTTATACGGCTTTCTCAAACCGCGGTGGCATTCGTACTCAGGCAGGAGTGTGTCAGGCGTCAGCGGCGCCTGACATGCTCGTTTTCCGAAGCTGCGCTATGACGACTCGCTCTAGACGATAATCCAAGCGCGATGTCTAGAGCGTCAGCTATACGCCAACTTCCTACTGGTCAGGCCAGCGTTGGGCTCCACGTCTCACCTCTTCGACACCGATTCAGTTGACGCCGCCATGAAATTATTGGTAAACAACCGTTTGACCACGGCAATGCCATGGCATCGAGGGTGTTTCCCCAGATTTTAATGGCGGCGTCCGTTAACTGAGGTTTCTGATCACGATGCAAAGTACCCGTGACTATGACAAAAGATAAACAACTTAGTAGAAAAATGGCATTAAATGGATTGTTTAATAGCCGAGAGCAGCGGTTCTCAAATGGAGGTTGCGGGACATTTTGGGGTCCGCGAAGGCAATTCTGCAGTCCACGAAGCCTTGCCTTGACACTCAAGTTTGGCAATAAAAGTGTTATTTTATCCGATTGAGACGAAACATTCTGATTTTTAGGTGAGCTTTCTCGCGTGTATGTCACTGGGAAAACTCTACTTCACACCAGCCCTTAGTTATATCCACTTCTTAGATCATTATAATAATTAACCTGTACCTTTTCCTTCCCCTCACCACGAACGGGATCCTCCATCATCTCCGCCACTCCACAAGGGGTCCGCGAAACATCACTGGCTGAGAACCACTGGCCGAGAGAATAAGAAGGCCTTTCATGGCCACGCCTACTTGCGTTACACTTCGTTCTATGTATGGAGAATACGAATGCCACCTCCTGCTTATTATAACCTCCTTGACCCCATTAGAGATAAAGATGGCGGCGTCCGCCGCATCGTCGCCCATGGGCAGCGTCAGCCAAGCACTTACTTTGGCGGAACACGGGGGGATGTCTCTAGAGACTGTCGTAGCATCAAATATTATCGGAAGAGGCACGATTCGGGGTCAGAGCTTCCGCTAGAACGATCATGGCACGTCGCGGAAGCCAAAGCTTGGCGAGGACGGCCATTTCGATGTCGGTGCCGATAAGGCTTTCCTTCTGTCTTTCTCGCTCGAATTCGTGTGAAACGTTCTGGTCATGGTTTCTTTATTCTAAAAACAAAACAAGAAAAGACGCTAATGTTGTTTCGTTTAAACACTTTTAATGAGTGAAAAGCGCGCATATAATTAATTTACATCACTTTAACAATAACAAAAGGTAATGAGACATCAGTTTTTGTTTCGTTTCGGCTTTAACTGTGTCCCTTGACACGAATCTCAATTGGGGTTGATAGGCATATGTACCGTGTAACACCGGGAAACTAAATTGGTCTTAAATCCAGTTGGGAGAATGTCAGTTGATAATGCCAGTTGGGAGGATGTCAGTTGAGAGTGCACTCGTTTTTAGTACTGTATTGACAACCTGCAGCTTTGTATCATGAAGAAGTACAAATACCTAGGTGTGTACATACAATTAAACCTCTATTGGAAGCTCCAAGATGACGGAGTATGTAATAAGGCTATGTTTAGGCTGTAGACTTTCAGATGATCACTGAAGGACATAACACCGGAGGTTAAGTTAATCGCTTTTAAAACCTTTGTTATACTATTCATTACTTACGCAAGTAGGCTATAGGCCCTTCCACTCAGAGCAATATAAATAAGCTTGAACGAGTTCAAAATAAGGCAGTTAGTTTTATTTATAACCGTTATCATTCCACAGACTCAGTAACAATGCTCAAAGCGAGGGCGATGCCGCCTGACATAAAGTCACGTATGTATGCACGTCGTCTCAGATACTTTTTTGAATTAGTAACTGAATTGCATAATATTGATGTGTCAAGATACGTCCACTCGGGCGTCCCAACTGACTGGCGCAGACTTCTTACTCTTGCGAAGCATAGCAAATATATTCAGTCATATTCGTACTTTGTCGACACCTTTAAATTTTCATTTTTCCCAAGATGTATAGATGATTGGAGTAAACTTGAGTCAGATATTGTAAGTGCCCCTACGATAACGAGTTTCATCAGCAGTATGGCACCATTGTAATTGTAATTGTAATCGCAGATTGTTCTTTTTTTGTTTTCTTTCTTTTACAAGCGTATCTGCATTTGTTTTAGAGCGCAGCTCTTAGGAGCCCATTTCCGCCTTGAGCGGCGTCGGCATCGGCGTCGCTGTCGCCGTCGCCGTCGGCGTCGGCGTAATTGCGTGGTACATGATGGGTAATTTTCCCTGCTAAATTTAGCGGAAAAATTTCCCCGCTAAATTTATCGGAAAATTTTCCCGCTAAATTTAGCGGAGAGATTTTACCGCTAGATTTAGCGGGGAATTTTTCCCACTAAATTAGGCGGGGAATTTTTTTCCCTCTAAATTTTGGGGGAAAAGCTTTCCGCTAAATTGGGCGGGAAAACTTTTTTGCTAGATCTAGCATAGAACTTTTTTGTGTTAAATTTAGCGGGGAAATTTTTCCGCTAAATTTAGAGGGAAAAAATTTGTGCTAAATCTAGTGGAGAATTTTTTCCGCTAAATTTAGCGGGGAATTCTTCCCGCTAAATTTAGCGGGAAACATTTTCAACCAAATTAATCGGAAAATTTTCTTCTAAATGAGAGCCGAGCAAGAAAGGAGGAGGGGCATAGCCCCCTCTCCATACCTTCCCCTCCTCCTCCTCAAGAGGTGCGCTCTAATTGGGCGTTACAGGAAGTTGTAAACGGCTTTCATTTGTTTACCGCCACCCTGCCTAAGCTCATTGTTTTGGGCTGGCAGTATTTGGAAATAAATAAAGTATGCGCTGTTAGTGTTCTCAATTTCTTGCATAGCTGTTCTACATGAATTTTTCATTTAAGATGATGGCCTCTATGTACATTTCAAGGTATTTTACATTGTCGACATATTCTAGTGCCGGGCAACAACAGTTGTTGCCCTTATTCTCGTGCATTTTTATTGGTATTTCAGTTTCTATTTTTTTCTTGGGTATCGGTAGCATATTACTTGTGTTTTGGATATATTTGCGATCATTTCATTTTTACGGTACCATCGAAGAATATTAAAAATACCTTCCTGAACCTTTCCTACGGTGTTTGCATATTTCGTGTGGGCGTATAGAATCACCGTATCGTAAAGAGACTGAGACGTTTACTTGTTAGTTTGACCTGGGTTATCTAGTTAACATCAAAGTTAAAAAGTAATGGGCCGTGTACTGTTCCCTTTGGTACTCCGTGGTTGACTTTAACTTCTCTATTATATTTAGAACCTAGCCGCACCATTTGGTGACTATCAAGATGATAATTTCGAAACAAATCATATTAGTACACTCGAACTTGACGATACTTGCAAGACAAACGCAAACTCCTCGAGGGGCTTCAGATACGAGTGCTGCAATCGGCTGGGTTGCGTCGAAGGTCGTTGAGCTTCGGGCCCAATAGCTGAGTTGGCGCTAACCGAGTGTGATTACGTTGCGTCGAGGCAAAGGAGGCAGGCGATTTGATTATAGTACCTGGGAGGCTATGTTCGACAAATGTTTCGTTTCTCCTAAAAAAAAGAACGGAAGTGACGCAAGGGACGATATCGCGTCTGATTGGCTAGAGGCTCAAATGACGAAAGAGGGAACTTTCGTCATTTGAGCCTCTAGCCAATCAGACGCGATATCGTCCCTTACGTCACTTCCGTTTCTTTTAAGGGGAAAGGAAACATTTGTCGAACATAGCCCCCCTGGACTGGGCTGTGCTCGAAATTAGTGTTAAACGTTACTTCCAATGACTCCCAGGCATGTACGACTTCGAGGGCAACGAAAAGGTGATCCGGTTCCACTCGGACGCTGCCAACTCGCGGCCGGGCTTCCAGATCCAAATGCGTCAGCACGAGTGTGCACTCCAGGGTCAGAGTCCCCGGCCGCCCCCGGCCAGACCCCTCCAGGGGCTAGGACCCGTCGACGAAGGCCACAGGCAGCCGCCGCCGCAGCAGCAGAAGTGCGACAAGATCTTTACGAGCCGACTGTTTGACATCAGAAGCCTGGGCTACCCACGCGGGTACCCCAATGACCTGGACTGCAAGTACATAGTCTTTCAGGTTCGTGCTTCCTTTTCAGACATTATCTACGGAGAGAATCTGGTGAGGAGAATAGGAGAGCACTGTTTGGCAGGATGGTCGGCAGACGCAAAGGCCAGTGTCCTATTCCCCTACACGAGGTTTAGACGGCGCCCTTGCGTGCTCTGAGTTGAGTAATTCGGTGTGAACAAAGGAAGCTAGCTATTGCGTCTACCCACTATCCTTCCACTCAGTGTTAGGCGCTCTGACATCACCACACGATCTTTCTCTCATTTAGTTGCTCTTCCTATAGAGGTATTCACTACAAAAATGAAAGCGAATATTCACGGGAGAACTGATTGTTTAAACTCAATTCCGTCCCCGCAGTCGTCAAAGCAAGAAGGCAAGCGGCTAGTCACTGACATACCGTATTTACTCAAGTAATAACGGCACTTGTTATGAAGAAAGCCTGAGGGTTCGCTTTTCCGCGGAGCACACAGATTGTCAGTCACCGCGATTGACAGCATGATTCCAGCTGTTTACAGGACAGAGATAGCGTCTTCGTGCAAGGATACCATCTGTGAAGATTGCACTTGTATGGAGAATCGTGTTCTCGATCTGGTTATTCGCTATGTTATTCATGTTCAACGCAATGGTTGGCTGGATATGTGTTCCGTGAGAAAGTAGAAGCAAGGGCTTTGTTCATAAATAGTGCGGTTATTACTCGAGTAAATACGGTATTGCCGCGCGCAGGGCCGAACAAGCAACGCTCGGTCATGGAATTCTAGAAGACTCCCGTTAATTCTTGATCGGGGAGTAACTTTTACTATTTTGTCCTAGTTTCTCGTCATCGAAATTGCCTGTACATTCTCGTCCCGAGCGCGCTACGCCTGAAACTGCTTTTCCTAAATTTCGAGAGAGTCACGCACACAAGATAAGGAGCTACGCGGGATCTTATCGAGTCAGTCTCGCTCTTGCTTTCAGTTACGCCGCCAAATCGCCGCCCGCTTTTTTGCTATTGCGGCAATCGTTGTTTTTATTTTGTTTGGCACAAGTTCGGCAATTAAGCCTTTATTTTCAAATTACAATTGTCTAGCGCTTTTCCATCCGTGATAATATTAAGAGCGAGGTATCATTCGAACTCCCGGCCTTCAGCATGCCCTCCATATTGTTCCGCGATGCTTCGGCTGAGTGCGGGGGCTCGACATACACGCCACGCTAAAGCAATGTCGAAGGTACGAAACTCACGCTGAAGGAGGGTGAACTGAAGTTCCTCCCACCTTTCCAGGTGCCATAGTTCGCGAATTAAAGGAGATTCACGCGCGATTTATTTGTAGCGTTTTCCTCACTAGTGGCGCTGATTGTTTCCGGAAAACGAGTACCTCCCAGTTGCGCATACAGCTCGGGCGCTCGGACTTGTCCCGGTCCACGGACTGTTTAAGGCGATCAAGGCCGGCTAGGTTTTGTTTGTCCGGCGTCCGCCCCCACCGGCAGTTATTTGACTGGCGTTGATTTCTGCCTGGCACCGAAGTTGAAACCAAGTTCGAACCATTCAAGCGTATTTTATGAACACCGAGTTTCTTCATGGTCCGCTGTAGTCTGCTGTCCATCGCATGTCTCGCATTTCGGACCGGCTGGGCTTACTACGTTGTTGGGCGCGTGACTGATCCGCTGGGTGGCCAACTCGAACCGATGAATTCTTGGGGCGAGATCGTTGAATAAAGCTAGTTTCTTAGACTTCTGTCTGTTCTCAATGGGCGGCAATATGCAGACATCGTTTGCACTTAATGAGTGTCGACCAAAGCAATATTCGCTTACAACTGCGTCTACACAATGAACCAATATATGGAGCGACACAACAGGCTTACGCATTCGCGTCAACAATGCGGACTGCCGATGAACACAGCAGAGATGGCAAAATAACTTTTAAAATGTATTTAAATTACATCACTAATTAGTTTTATCAAAACAGCAGGAATGTAATTAAATTACATTAGAAATTGACGCAAACTAAACTTAATTATATTGCATTGCAATTACACAGCAAAAGTAGTGAAATTACTTTGACATTACTTTTGAATACCTTGAGGCAGTAATTAGTGCTCATTTTATTTACCCTATATGTACCAAATCTTAGACCTTCCTGTCTACACTGCAGCAGCCTTTCGCGCCTCAAGGTGAACCATACTGAACAGTCGTTTTGCTGGCGCACATCACATAAGTGTTAACTATGACGAATAGCTTTTTTAGATGTGACTCAAAAACATACGATCCACCGGTTTTGCTGTTCATTCAACGGTGAAAGGGCTTACTAAAAGGGTCGTATGGTCTCCATCTTCCTGATTTAGACGAAGTGATAGTCCGTGTCAGTCTGTTAATAAGTCGGGCAACGGGAGCTCGTTCTTACAAAGAGTCGTCAGCGGAAACGTTTCCCTTCCGTCTCGGACGCAGTATAATGTACAGGGTGTCACAAAAACTGATTTACACGTTTTTGTTTTACCGCAAAAATAAACTAGGCATCGTCGAACGCTCATTATCCGCCCAAAGGTAGCCCTAGATATAACAACCAGATGCCAAAGTTTCTGCCCGATCTGATACTTTATTCAAAAGTTATAAGTGATTTTTTGATAATTTCAATAGGAAAATGGCGGCCGATGGAGTCTCGAATACATGCGGATCTATGGCATCATAAACCGAAAACGGGCAAAAATGGGCTCCATTTTTTCATAGAAATTTTCAGAAAATCACCTTTAACTTTCGAATAAGGCATCGGATCGGGCTGAAACTTTGGCATCTGGTTGTGAGCTCTAGCGCTACTTTTGGATTGAGAATGAGCGTTCTGCGGTGCCTAGTTTGTTTTCGCGGAAAAAAAAAAATCCCTGTAAATTTTTTTGGGACACCCTGTATAATCCTATCATCCCAAGTGCACTAGTTGTCGTACTCCCAGTCATTCCTCCGAAAAAGTATTGTTCCCAAACACCCGAAGTGTTTGCGCATTGTCACAAAAGGGGCTAGATAATTGCTACGCAGAAGCGTCGCCAGCTGAGGAATGGCGCGAGCTTCCTAAATTGTGTACTTTCCCAACAAACGGGTGGTGACATTAGCTTGTAGGCTTATTCCCGAATAAACTTCCCAAGGTAATGCAGCGAGCCTTACCGCGAGCGGCACCTGCTTTGCTCGAGGACACGCGAAACGTTCTGGGGTCTTGACAAGGCATTTGGAATTGACTATTTATTACGGTCGTTGGTTGTTCACAATCGTCGAAGCTTACGGTTTGACCTTGCTTTGACGAAAGTACACGGCTGGGGATCTGTTTGTCCTGTCCTCTCAGGTTTTAAATTATGTTTAACTCACTGGTGATGTGCCCGTCGCCTTGTAGCCTATGAGCCGTTCATCCCTAAGCTGCGAATGCGGTGAGTTGCGTGTTCGTTGGAACAGTCACACGTTTATCTCTCGTGATGTTACCACGCTCTTGTTCATACCCACGCGCAGAGAAAGGGACGGGTGAGGTGATGAAAGGGAGGTGTTTGATTGGTTCTGGTTGGCTCGCAGCTCCCCCCACACTGTCAGATTAGGGATGAACGAAGCTAAGTATCGTCGTGATTACGTGACGCCGTGAATTTGTCTTGCTTAGAGTTCGTAAGCCGTCGCCTTTTAGCGATGTCTACACGTCAGCTTTTTTCGTTCGCCTTTCCATCCCGGCCTTGTGCGTCTGTTTAGTTCTTCGTACGAGGTTTTGCACTCAGGTGGCCGTCGTTTATATTCTCTGATATCTCGTTCACGTTTCATCATGCAAATTAATTTTTTTTCTTATTTTTTAAAGCTTGCAAACGAACTTAATAATTTGGGACAAAAGTAATTTCAAAAGTAATGAGTAATTTCTATCGAAATTACTGCCTGAAAATAATTAATTACATTATTAAATTACGAGCCTGGAGAAGTAATTCATTACATTACTCATTACCACAAAAAGAAATTTAATTACTGTAATTTCATTACAGTAATGCCATTACTGCCATCTCTGGAATACAGTACGTTTACGCACTACCGTCTTCGGGTGAATTCTGCGAGGTCCTCCCGATAATGTTTGATGGGTTTCGCGGAACCTTTAGAACGGCCCTGAAAGGTCACAAAGAGCCGTTATATTGCCTCTGAAAGGCCACACAGACCTTCAAGAGCAATCCTGAAGAAACGCCCACCTCTCAGAAAAATATCTTAGTGGGCCCCACAGACCCACTAGAGAAGCCTGATGGGCCCATTAGACATTTCAGGATATCCTAAAAGGCCTCTCCATTCCTTACAATCAATTCTAGTGGGCCTCCCTGACGTTTTTTCAGTAGGGAGGTTAACTTCATATAAAAACCTCGGCAAGCATAAATCCCCACTTAGTGTCCTTTTAACAAATGCACGTGCTGCTTAGAGTAGACGACCCTGCATGCCTGATTGCAAAATTTGACAAGGGAGTATTATATATGATGCGTGCATTATAAGCGGTGGTAGTAAGGACGCATAATGACCGCAATATATACTCTACTCTGGATGGAGCTCTAGCGGCTTCAGTACTATCGATTGTTGTGGAAACGCGTCGAGATTACTGATCTCTATTGCAGGAAGCTGGATTATCCGAAGCTTGTCAGTGGAACCGCGGATGGCCATAACCTGACACCAGGCAATACACGTTATTTTATTGGAGAAACACACAAAACAAGAAATATTAAAGCTCGTACGCGATGCGCCGAAGACGAGTATTGTATGATGTGCCGCGATTATTACATAGAGTGTTTGGAGATCGAATCGTTATTTGTCAAGCGTTCGAACGCCGATTTAAAAGATAAAATGTGCCGAAGTACCACTGAGAGTGCCGGTGTTGCTTGTTTTCTTTGCTAAATAAATGACGCGTTCAACAAATGAATGACACGCGCCGAGTTTTAGTTCGTCACAGAAGTCATCACTGCAGTTCGAAGCAAAAGCTTGCACCAAAAGAACTCTGCACAAGAAGTGAAAATATAGTGAGTGTGCAGGCGAGCTGGCGATAGCTAATC